ACCCAAGCTGAGGGAACTGAACACAGGCAAAACACTCTTTGACATGTATCATACCAATGTTTTCTTAGGTCAGTCTATGAAGGCAATAGAAATAAAAGCAGAAATAAACAAATGGGACCTAATCAAACTTATAAGTTTTTGCACAGCAAAGGAAACCATAAACAAAATGAAAAGACAACCTACAGATTGGGAGAAAAATATTTGCAAACAATGTGACTGACAAGGGCTTAATTTCCAAAATATACAAACAGCTCATACAACTCAATAACAAAAAACCAAACAACTCAATCAAAAAATGGGCAGAAGACCTAACTAGACATTTCTCCAAAGAAGACATACAGATGGCCAACAGGCACATGAAAAGATGCTCAACATCGCTAATTATTAGAGACATGCAAATCAAAACTACCATGAGGTACCACCTCACACTGGTCAGCATGGCCATCATTAAAAAGTCTACAGATAACAAATGCTGGAGAGGGTGTTGGAGAAAAGTGAACCCTCCTGCACTGTTGGTGGGAATGTAAACTGGTGCAGCCCCTATGGAAAACAGTATGGAGGTTCCTCAAAAAACTAAAAATAGAGTTACCATGTGATCCAGCAATCCCACTCCTGGGCATATATCTGGACAAGTCCAAACTCTAATTTGAAAAGATACATGCACCCCTATGTTCATAGCAGCACTATTTACAATAGCCAAGACATGGAAACAACCTAAACGTTCATTGACAGATGAATGGATAAAGAAGATGTGGCATACACACACACACACACACACACACACACACACACACACACACACTGGAATACTACTCAGCCATAAAAAAGAATGAAATAAGGCCATTTGCAGCAACATGGATGGACCCAGAGATTATCATACTAAGTGAAGTAAGTCAGAAAGAGAAAGACAAATACCATGTGATATCAGTTATATGTGGAATCTAAAATATGACATAAGTGAACTTGTCTACAAAACAGAAATAGACTCAGACTTATGTTTGCCAAGCAGAAGGGGGGTGGGGGAGGGATGGATTGGGAGTTTGGGATTAGCAGATGCAAACTATTATAATATATATATGTGTAACTAGGGACTTCCCTGGTGGTCCAATGGCTAAGACTCTGCACTCCCAATGCAGGGGGCCCAGGTTCAATCCCTAATCAGGGAAATAGATCCCACCTGCCGCAACTAACAGCATGCCACAGCTAAAGATCCTGCACGCCACAACGAAGATCCCACATGCCACAACTAAAACCTCACACGGCCAAATAAAATATAAATAAATATTTAAAAATATTTATATATGACTGAATCACTTTGCTGTACACCAGAAACTAACACAACATTTTAAATCAACTATATTTCAATAATTTTTCTTTTTTTTTTATTATATAGGTATGATGTGAATATGTGATATTAAACATCTATATGTTTAAGTAAATCAAGAATTCTTTCAATAGGATGAGGCATGTGGGATCTTCCCGGACCGGGGGCACGAACCCGTGTCTCCTGCATCGGCAGGCGGACTCTCAACCACTGCACCACCAGGGAAGCCCTTCAATAAATTTTTTAAAACAGAAAAAAATGGTTATGATGGTAAATTTTATGAAGTATATTTTATCACAATAAAATTTTTTTTTAGGGCTTCCCTGGTGGCGCAGTAGTTGAGAGTCCGCCTGCCGATGTAAAGGAGACGGGTTCGTTCCCTGGTCTGGGAAGACCCCACATGCCGCGGAGCGGCTGGGCCCGTGAGCTATGGCGCTCTGCGAGCCATGGCCGCGGAGCCTGTTCTCTGCAACGGGAGAGGCTGCAACTGTGAGAGGCCCGTGTACCGCCAAAATAAAAAATGTTTTTTAAGATTTCATTTCAAATTCTGGAAGGGCAAATACTCCACTGGGTAACACCTGGGGGTGTCATCGTAGCTGGGATGCCCTCACTCTGACCCCATGGAGACACAGTAGTCTCAGGGTAGTCCCTTGCCATCATGTGGAATAAGCCAAAGAAACCAACTCTGTTACAGAATATTATGACTCTGATGGCCCCACCACTCTTCAGTGTTGCCCAGTGGGCTGCTCAGATCCATCCCATGGCATCCCTCACTCTCCTTGGAGGAGCCTTTCAACTGTCACAAGTAGCTAATTAATTTGAACTACCCCCAGGTACTCTGTCCTGGACACTTGACACCTTGACTCAGATAGGAACTAGGGGAGGACTTTGTTTACAAGTTCCAAAATTTATGAACGGGATTCACAGCAACATCTGGTAGAGGCAACAAAAAAGAGCTTTGGGGCTTCCCTGGTGGCGCAGTGGTTGAGAGTCTGCCTGCCGATGCAGGGACACGGGTTCGGGCCCTGGTCCGGGAGGATCCCACATGCTGCGGAGCAGCTGGGCCCGTGAGCCATGGCCGCTGAGCCTGCGCGTCCGGAGCCTGTATTCTGCGACGGGAGAGGTCACAGCAGTGAGAGGCCCGCGTACCGCAAAAAAAAAAAAAAAAGAAGCAGCAGCAGCTTTAGCTACAGCAACAACATGCCACCCAGCAGTGTGCCTGCTGCTGCCATCTGGAAGACCTGTTAGAAAGTCAAGATCAGTCATTCGGTCTGAGATCAAACCATTCTGCTTGCTGGACCAATTGTTTCAATATTTTATTATTATTACTTAGGTATTGTAAGGCCAACAGATCAGGAGACAATTGCCACTGAAAACATAGTTTATTGTGCTCAACATTCCCAAGAGAGGGAGTAGGGACGCATGTGGAGGCATGGGACACAGAGAATGACCAAGGGGAAGTCAAGAGGCAGAGGCAGGGCAACAGGATTTAGGATTGGCTAGTCTGAATAATTTCAGGGGCTCAAGGGCATAGAAACGGTCCCTGTTTTATCATCTGTCTTTTAAATTTTTGTCAAGAGCTACACATGATGTAGGTAAATAGGCTTTTAGTGTGAGCTTTTGTATTTTTCTGGCTAGGAACCAGGCTGTATTTATTGTTTGCTCTAGTTGTAGGTGTCAGAGGCTAAAATTTCCTCCAGTGTTCTTATTTTTGTGTCTTCTTTGGCTTTCCCATTAGACCTCTTACACAGATTCTGAGCCTAGCAGTTCCTTCGGCTATAGTCCCCTATTATTGTAACGCAGGAGCTTTAGTTATGTGGTGGTAAGAGCTGGGCGGAGGGGAAGTGTCTAGAATCCTATGGTTAGGGCTTAGTCTTTTACTGAGCATCTGCCCCTGGGCTGTGACCTTCACAAGTGTTTCTGAGCTTCTGTTCCTCCCTTTACGGCGAGAGAAGGTTGGAGTTCGGTATCTCCCTTCCCCCAGGTTGGGTATGCTCTGGTAACAGTTTCCCTGAAGATGGGCCTTTGTTAAGGAGGACAGGCTGAGCTGGCTCCAGGCTGCGCTGGTTCCTTTCCCCCTCCCTTTGCCAGAAGCACCGGGGGCTTTTTCTCCAGTCCTGACCCGGAGCACCTGGTAGGGCTCCTGGAGTAAAACCCACAAGTGTGACGCTCAGTGAGCCTCCAAGTTTTCCTACAAGTTGCTGACTCTGGCAGCCGCTTCTGAGCCTGGTGAGGCCTGGCTCTCTGTCCTCACTCTTCTCTCCAGTTTTCGAGGCAGCAGTTGGCCCCGCGACCTCAATTTCCTCATGATCCAAGACGAGTGGCTAAACTGTAGTTTTCTCAGCTTTTTCCTTATTGTGAGGACAGAAATGGCTTCCAAGCTCTCTGCATGCCAGATCAGAAACCACTGTAACCTACTGTAACTTCCACGCTTAAAATTAATATGATTATAGAGATAATCCCCACCCCGCGCGCAGAAGTGTGAATGAATACACGCGTGTGGTGGTGCGCTCCTGGGGACAGGGGCTCGGGCCTGCGCGTAAGCTCCCTGCATTAACTGATCCGAGAGGGTAAAGGGATGGAAAACGGAGGAAGGCGTTTCCTGACTCATGTTTGTGGCTTTGGCTCCCCTTTGTAAGGGAAGTGTGCCCGGGCTGGGGTGCGGGGGGCGTGGCGTGAGGGCGCGGCCCGCAAGCCCGCGTTGCCCCCGTGAGAACCCAGGACACCGAACCACTGGACCACAGGTCAAACGCAGCGGCCGCCGGGCCAAAGAGAGCTAAAACCGTCGGGGAACGCTCCGGTCCCCTCCGCAGCCTGCCCCTCGCCCCTCCGCGGACACAGCTCCGCAGCGGCGGCCCCACCCTCCCCGCAGGCCCGTGAGCTAGGCTGCGGCGGCGCCGCCCTCGAGGGAGGGGCCGGGCCCGGGGCGCCCTTCACGGCAGTGGTCTAATACTCACATACTGGAGTAAACGTTTAACCTGTAACTACTACTATTACTCACACCTGTAGTGGATATGGTACCGCATGTAACTCACTGGTAGAACAACTAGTCAATGACGTGATGAAAATCGACACTTCCGATTAATACGCTGACGGATGGGGCCCAGAGCTTCCCGGGCCTCAATTTCTCCAGGTTTAAATGGAGAGAGCCATTTAATTTGACGTGAGGTGTGCTAGTGGAAAAAAAACCAAACTGTGGCAAGTTGAAAGAGTAAGTAAGAAAAATAACCTAACGTTCCCATACCGGGAGTCGAACCCGGGCCGCCTGGGTGAAAACCAGGAATCCTAACCGCTAGACCATATGGGACGCGCTGAAAGCGTCTCCTCCTCGATGCAACATATAGTATTTGCGTCAGCTTGTCGTCAGCACCACCAAATCACGTCTGCGCACCTCAGGCCTTGCTCCGGCTGGTAGAAATCTGTGCTGACTGCGGCTGCGCAAGCCCGGACTTCACGGACCCGCCCGCCTACGCAGCGCCGGCCGGCACATCCGGGCCCCTCCCAGGGGCGGGAACTCCTCCTCCCGGAAGTGTTCCCAAGAACCGAAGTGAGGGTGGATGGGCGCTAGTCGTAGTCACCGTCCGCACTAGCACACCCCGCTGGGACCCTGGCCGCGCCGCCACCGAAACCCAACTTCTACAGTAAATAACGGAGGGCTATTGCTTGTCCTTCGATGTCAACTGACATCTGAAACAAAAGCCACCCCTTCTTCCCCCGCCCCAGTACCGGGTTCCCCGTGAAAATCTTTTCCTCAAAAAGCAAAAACGGGGTGTTATCTTTAACTCATTTTAGCTTGAAGATCTCACAGGTTGGCACTTTGCTGGTAACAGGTTTTGGTCTGAAATTCAACCTTTTGTGTGGGTGGAGGGATGCCCTTTTTTCCTCTGGTCACAGCGTTTCCTTTTCAGAGCTTCGATTAGGCTTTTTCACGGACAACTCAAGCTCAACGTAGTGCCCCGCCCAGCCCCGGCCCAGAAAAAAAAAAAAGAAATTCCCTCCAACCAGAAAATGTGCGCTACAGCGGTTAAGTATGTATTAAAGGCTCAAGAATTAAAACAGTGTGGTTCCTGTGTCTGACATTAAGATCAATGAAACAGAATGCAACCGCCAGAACATGGTACGGGTATACAACATTGGGATTAATCGAAAGAAAAAGGTGGCATCACAAATCAGCGGTAAGGGTGGTCCCCTGTATGTGGATCTGTGGTAGAAAAGAGGAAGTTGAGTGCAGGACTCACCCTGTACCTCACCTGAACACACAAAAGTTCTTGAAGAAAACACTGGCGAATTCCCTTACCATCACATCAACTACAATCCCAAAGCAAGAAATCATAAAATAGCTGATTGATAAATTCAACTGTACTAAGAAAACTGACTTAAAAACACAAGAGCTGAGAGATGCTCATGATAGGTTTCACCTTGCTCTTTGAGCTATTCATTTGGTCTGTGCAGTTTAATGTAATGTGTTTTATTTTATAATAAAAAGTTTGGTTTTTTTTTTAAACCACCATAAGCAAAATTAAAAGACAAACTGGGAAAAAAAATTACATCTCATATTATGAACAAAAAACTAACATCCACCAAACATAACAATTAGCTCCTAGAAACTGCTAAAAATGTCAACAAGCCAGTAGGAATATGAATTGACACAGAGTTCCTGGCCCTTCAACAAATTAAAAGACTCACTCTTGGAAAGATAAAGGCAAGTTTTTAAAAACCTGAATGGTCTCTTGAAAGATTTCCCTTGAAAATCTAGGTCCGATCTTTTTTACTTTCTGGCTTAAAACCTGCCAAGCGCTGCCCATCTACTCGGGTGTGTGTGTGTTTTATGGATGAGGAATCATTCTGTCCTCATCTGTTAGCTGTGTATGGTTTTTTCCTCCGTCAAAATCACTTTTAAGGATCTAGTGAAACTGAAGCACCTACTTCTTGTCCTTCCCTGCCACTAGCTGTGCAATATTTCATCCTTTAATGAAAAACCACAGCTGATTTATGCATCAGGTTGTTACAGTTGTTCAGTGATATGAACTAACCTAACAGGTTTGTGCCTGCCCCACATGAGACAACAGAAATCTAGAAGTGGTTTCAGAGTAGTGGCTTTCAACATTACTCACTTTGTCCTTTCAAACTTCCCCATCTAACAAAGTTGGAAACATGCAGACCAGAGAAGTATTAAGGAGGGAGACCCTCATGTCCTTCAGGTCGTTGCTAAAATGTCACCTCCTCAGGATACTTCCTTGACCCCCTTATATCACCCACCAGGAACTAAAAATTCACAGATCATAATATAGTTTCATGCCCTTATTTCCTTCCTTCTTTTCGCCATTATCACAGCCCCTCAATGCTCTTGTCCTCTCTCCTTCTACCTGTTTTCTCTGCCCCCAAGATTGGTCCACTCTGGATCCACCTCTACACTGCTTTCACCTGATGCTTCTCCTGGAACAGCTGCTGTCAAGTCCTCTGGGCCGTCCACACCACCCAGTCCACTGGCCAGTCCTGTCTTCAGCCTAACTGCCTGGCAGCAGAGCTGGCCACACACCTGATCACCTCCCTCCAGGGCACATCTTACCCTCTTGGTGTTGCTCCTGCTTCACTGTTGCTTCTAAGTCTCCTCGACTGGTTTCTTCCCTTCTTTTTTCTCCTACTTCCTGTCCACATTCCTAGGACCTCTGCTGATCGTATCTCATTTCAACTTTAATGCTGTGTCTGTTAGCAACTTGGGAATTTAAAACCAGTGTTATGCAGTGGGCTCCCAAATCTCTCTCTCCAGCCCAGTCCTCTTCCAAACTCCAGATGCATGTGGCCAACCATCTGATCAGAATCTCCACCACACAGTACCAGGAACACACCCCACACCACTCCTGACTTCCCCTCGGCTGTTGCTGCTTCGCAGCCCTCCCACTCCAGGTGAGGGCATCCACCCTTTCAGGCATTCTGGCTAGAAACTGTGGGGTCATCCTTCACTCCACTCCTTCCCTTACTGCCCAGTTGATCTGTCAGCAAATCCTGTGGCTTTTACTTGAAAAAACGTGCAGCTTTCCACCACTTACCCCATCCTCCACTGCCTTCCCCCCGCCCCCCTCCACTAGACCACTGGCCTCCTCTCTGCCATTCCAGATACAACCTTGCCTCAGAGCTCTGCCCTGGCTGGTCCCTGCACCTAGAACACTGTTGCCCCAGATCACCAAAGCTCTCTCCTTCATCTCTCCAGAGGCCTTTCCAGGCTACCATTCAAAAAACAGCTTCCCCAGCCCACTCCATACTCTACCTTATTTTTTCATAGCAAGTCTCATTACCTGGTATTATATTTAGGGCCTACTTATTTGTTTGCATGTTGTTTTTCTGCCCTCAATAAAATAAACATCCCATGAAGCTGTCTGTCCCTTTTGTTTACTGCCAGCACCTAATATGAACCTGGAACTCTGCTAACAGCAAATAAATGCTTTTTGAAAAAACAGAAGGTGTGCAACAAAAGCCTGTAATGGAGAAAACCTGCAAAGCCTTCTGCAGACTAATCCCAGCCCTGGCATTAATGCTCAAGTGCTCCCTATAGATAGGGGGTCCACTTACCCTCCCGGAAGCTGGCTTGAGCTTGCCGTAGACTGTGAGGAACCAGGATTCCAAACCAGTTCAGAGGGTCCTGGGGAGCTGGGGAGGGGTCTGGCTCCGGGGTCCTTGTGAGACCCTTGCGCCTGCGCAGAACTGTAAAAAGAAAGGCTGGAGGTTGGGGGGCTTGCTACCTGGCCCTTGTTTTCTCAGTGACACAATGTTAAACTTCATTTGAGCTCATGATCCTAGAAAATACCGACAGTTGGAAAATCCTCTCAACCTTTTATGTTCTGGAAAACGGCTTACTACAAAGAACCACCCTTCCCCTTGTGGTTCATGTGAATCTGTCCACTCTTTCTCTTGACTATCATAAAACCAGCAAATGACCCCCCTTGTTTACCCGTGAAAAAGCCACACACTGACTTTTCCCATTTCGCCTGAACATGCTGAAAGGCCAGACAGACCCTTCAACTCCCCGTTCTTTGTCTCACGAATGATTAACTGAGATTAGAAGCTTGTCCCGCTGAAACTAGCTAAACACAAATAAATATCTTCTGCGCAGCTGAGACTTCCTCTGATTACAAAACAATCCCAACTGTAAAGGATCTCACCTATAACTTTCTCTCTCTCTCCCTGTAAAAGTCTAAGGCAAAAAACCATCCTGCTGAGACATTCTACATTCTGATCTTCGGATCTGGGGTGCTCTCTCTATCGCAACAGCCTAAATAAAATCATCTCCTCTGTTGTTCCGTGCATTTTGTCTTCGACATCGGAAGGGGCCCTACGGGAAGAAGGGGCGGGGGGACTCACCTGCCTCGCGGGGTCCCACCTCCTCTGGAGTCTGGGTGCCGGCTCTCACCATCCAGAACTTCTGGGGTCCGTCCTGGGCCTCGCTGAAGAACGAGAAGGGAGGCTGGACCTTTGGCGGCCCCGACCTGGCCCCTGCCTGCCCACCCGCTGCAGCGTGAAAGGGACCTCACCTGGTGCAGACGCGGACCTGGGGCTCCATGCGGGAGGCATACTGCAGAGGCCCTACCGACTTCGCACCCATGGCGTAGCGAGCTTTGGAGAGCGAGAGCCAGCCCTGGGAATAGAGAGGAGAGCGGTGAAACTCAGTAACCTTCACGTGCCGGCCGGCCGGCCCGCCCGCCCCAGGCTCCCACCTCCTCCACCCGGGCGTTCAGCGCCGCCCGCTTCGCCTCCAGTTCCTCCAGGTCCCCGAGCAGCTGCAGGAGAACGGAGTCCAACTCGGCTCGCGGATTCCGCGCCGCCATGGGCTCCACACACAGTCAGTAGCCGGCTCCCCAGGTCGCCCAATCAGCGTCCGTCGTGCCAGAAGGACAGCCAATAGGCGCGCGAGGTCCGTCCCCCGAGGGGGCGTTCCCAGCCTTGGGCCGAGACGCCCACTGGGTGGAGGCGACTCGCTGAGTTCCTTTCTGGATAAGCACTCACAGAGCAGCGGCCGGGGGAGGTGATTAGCGCCTCGTCACGCGAGCACCGGAAGGGGACCAGCCACCCGGACAGTCGGCGAGAGCTGTGAGTGTCTCCGAGTCGCTTTTGGAATCGGCCGTTTTTTAAAGTACGGCTGTCGCAGTGGCGATGGAAGGAGACATAGCTGTTCGGCAGCCATTTTAAGGGAGGAGCGGCTTTAAATTCAATTCTAGAACCGGCCGCTAGGCTATCATCCGGTCAGTCGCAGTGCAGCTTTTACAGTTGCTGCACTATTTCGAGCCTACGATTATGATTATTTTAGCTGTTCGTCGTCTCCTAATTGAGCATCCCTCTCCGCACGTTAGGTAGTGAAACCACGGCCGACGCCTTTATTAACGGCCGTTCTAAGCCACGTGACAGCACCTTGACAACCCCCCCCCCCCCCCCCCCCCCCCCCCC